TGGACCATGGAGAATCCTCTCTGATTGGGACCTAAGTGCTGCGGGCTAGAACATAAGTTCCTTTATGGTGAGAAGTGCGGAAGGGATGTTTCCGGAGTGTAGTGTGGATCACTCCATTTCATATAGATACTTCACCATCTTCAAGTAGAATTTGGACACATATTACTATGTAAAGCTCATATATGTCTGTTTAACATCATTCCTACTCCTACATTGGCCTGAACTCTCTCTGTATCTGATGGTGGAATAGATGATGTTATGTAATATCCAACTGTGATGTATCATTTACACCCTACCCCCATAGTGTCTAATGGTTGAGTAGTGGTTCTTAAATATCCATACTCATTGTGTCCAATAACCAACAATGCCTATGTGGTGCTCTCCTCCTGTGACTGGCAAGCAGCCTGAAGTCTTTGACAGTGGAGGAGTTGTGCATAGATTCTTATAGACTTATCACAAGTGCCTTTCTCCCACAGATGGTTTTTACTCATAGAGTCTGATTGAGGAGGTGTGCACCCATACTAGTCTGAACATGCTACACTACACTTATTGGCTGTCCAATGTCTTGAGAGTACTTTACCAATCATGTACTTATTCTGCCTGTCTGTGTGACACCATGCAGGCCTTTTGCTTCTTCTAATTCTGCTCACCTAGATGAGATGAGATGTGGGATCCCACAGATGTGCCTTTATGGAGCCCCTACCATAAGGTGTCACACCTTATTGGCTTCCTTTGGTTGCTTGCTGAAGGGAGATCATCTAGGTAACTTTCGCACCTGTCCCTCCACCATCTTAGTATGGGATTCTAGCTTTCTGTGTAGGTGAGTAATTGTATCAGAACTTAACATTTTCCTTAATTGTAAATGTATTTCTGACAGATACCTCCATGCATATTCCCACCCATAGTTGGTAGTTTTCACAAGGCTGGTGGCATGCAAGTCTCTCAAGCAGAATAGTGCAACTTCAAAAGAAACATAGCTTTCTCTGTATGGAGGTGAGTGTCTATTGGAAATACATTTTCAATTAATAAAAACAGGCTTGGTATAAAATAGGAAGTTCACATACACATTTGTACTCATTAAGTATTTATACTATAATTTTTAATACAGTATGTGTATCTTCACAAAATTGGGTAGACTTTTGGGAACATTACAAGTCTTTTGTACAAGAAAATCAGATTTTTTAATGAAGTATTTTTACTAAAGATTTGTTGTGAATATATCAAGTCTTGTTTCATTACTAGTCCAAGTGTAAAATGATTTTCATGTTAAGATTGAAAATACTTTTCTTCATCCCAAAAATCTGAAATTTCATTTACATAATCTCTAAAACCTCCTAAATAAATTTAAATGTTTGTTTTCAGTAAAACTTGATATTTTATCTGTAATTATAACTCTATACAAGGTTGGTCAAATTGACCAACCTTGTAACCACCAACAAAAAAAATCTAAATTTTCCATTTTTTTCTTTCTAGAATGACTTCAAATCGTAACATAAAACTACATTATACAACTATTTATACTTAAATTTTGTTGTTTTATTTCCCTTTGAACCATTTGTGTTATAACCATTATAAGTTGTAAATCACTTGGGAAACATGGGGCTCACATTACTCTATTGAATTACATTACTCACGAGCTACTGGTGTGCATGCCTCTTGAAATTTTTCATTATTATTTATTTTACCCAATCTAACCTGAACTAACCTATAGAGATTCCTATTTTTGCATTTTAGTTACTTTTATAATAATAAATAAAAAATACATATGAAAAAACAAGAAAGAAAGTACTTACCTGGTCCTTCTTTTTTTTGTTTTGCTGTCAACTGTCTATCAAACTTAACCCTACTTTTTTTTTGTACTAATAGTATTTGGCATTAAATACTTTTTATTTAACTAAATAATGCACCAAAGAATACAGAATAATAGCATCCAAAAAAGCAGACAATATCCCAATACTATCACAGTTTTTCTGGCTTTCTAACTATACAACAAGAGCTATTACAAATTCCATCCATGCTAGTTGAAATCTCTCCAATAGGAACAAAGCTTGTATTTAAAGAGAAATTGACAATTCTCTGCTCAGAAAACAACAAAATATGATACTTCATTTGATAGATGAAAACCTTGGCTTTCTGTTAGTTATAAATAATATAATATTAAATGGAAGAGAGAACTATTAACACATCCTGAAAGAGACGATGTGACAGGTGGGTGTGGCGAGAGGAGTCTGATTTACTATTCGATGGCTCTCTAACCAAACAAAATTGAAGGCTATAAAAATTTTGTTTGGTCTGAGTGTTGAAAATTTGAAAGTGAGTAATTTACGTTAAATTTCATACTTATTGGAGGGGTGGTGGATGCCTAGAGAAAAAATGTCACATTAATAGAAATTCAGGACTTTTTAAAAAATTTTCTTTATGAATTCAAGAACTTAAAACTTATATATTAATATGGATTATTAGCTATGATTTTATGCTACATCAAATGGTATAACATAAACAAAAAGTAGTGCACCTATTGCAAAAGAGTTAAAAGCTTTTCTGCAGAAGTTGCTATGTTACGTTCAAAATTTAGTTAAACAACTTTACTATCAATGTATGTGAATGAAATTAAGTTTTAAGTCCTCTGTTTCAAAATAAACCTTTCAAAAACTGCACAGGTGTTCAAATTACTTGAAATAGGTATTTAAAAACACAAATTACTTTTAAGAACATTTATTTCAAACAGTTAATTTTCATAACATTTTAATTTTTATCTAAACTGCTGATTTTTAAAAAAAAATTACACAATCTAAATTAGAGTATCTTGATATAACACACTGACTGTTGTTCCTTGTTCTGACAATATAAATAGGTTTTGATGAGATCCAACCCTTGAACATCCTACACAGAATTGACCATAGAATAACAATGTTGCTTTAGGAACAATCCAGCTACCTTTAAACTTTGACCTGGAGCCTTCTAAATTCAAAGAGGCAAGCAAAGGAATTCTTGGAATGAAGATATCTTCAACTTTGGCATGACCAGTTGTAATTGTCGCTTCAATAACATATGGCAGTAAAGCCTTAACAGCTAAACGTGTGCCATTATATAACTTTGTAGAGTTCTCACAACAATATTTATGAACCAACCTTTAATTACAGAATGTGACCTGGCATACCTGGTGGTTCAAGAAAATTTAGGAATGCAGTGGTAATTTACAGCACCAACTGTAACTGGAACACTGACAGTTGAGCTGTTGGTGATTTCCTGTCTGGGATCCTTTTGCATTAATTGATAATTTATGTCATGATCAGTATCATTTTGAGGTGCAAGAATTGCTCTTTTATACAATCATTAGTAATTTTGACAAGTATTAGGGAACACCTTTTCCTTTAGCTCTTCTACATCCTCAACTAAGTTACCATATTTGTCTGGAATAGTAATGTAGTTGTTTGATTGATTGGAAACTTTCCAACACTAACTTAAGAAGACTTTTCTGAATTAAACCATTTGCTTTTATATCACCAAAGTTACAAAAAACAGAGAAAATAAAAATAAACCATAAATTAACATGTAAATTATGTGTTCAACATAAAAATATTGTTAGCCTAACAACAATACCGTGATAGTTTTGTTGCTAAGTGATGATGTATAGGGTTGAGGAGCATGACACAAAGACAGAAATTGAATTAAAAGCCAAAAATTAGTTTTTATGGGAAACCTGGTGGAAATTTTGTCCCTTCATGTTACTTCTGGGGACTGTAGGAGTCATTGTGCCAAGTTTGATGCTGATTGGTCAAATAGTGTGTAAGGAGTTAGTGAACAGACAAACATACAATTTTGCTTTTATATATATAGATTTAGAGTACTAGTTACTGTCAGTGATAAGGATCTTATGTGTAGTGTATTTATTATTTATAAACTATAAGAATATCTTATCACAAAATGTGCTTAACAGTTTTCAGGCATCATGTGTCATAATATACTTACCCAATTACAAGTATTTAAATTTTAAATTAAGTACATAAATTTTATTGAAAATGGAAAGTTTTTATAGATATTAACATATATATATATATGATGAAATAGTATAGTCATTGTTTATTTCTGAAATGAGCAGGTCTAAAAAAAAATTAGTAGTAAAATAAAGTTAAATTTGAAATGTATAATGATTCAAAGATGAAATTCTTATACCATGTGTTTCAAATGAAATACAACATACTGTAAAGTATTCTAAAATACATGAAAGAAAGAAAATAGCAGTTATGTCACAGAACTCCAACAGGTACTTTCCACTTAGTTTAAATGAAATACTTGGACTCCAAAATGTTTTAATTTTTGTAATTTTTAATATTAGATAAATTTGAGACATTCCAAAGTTTAAGAAGTTTTCATAAAATACGTATGAAATGTTATTATATATTGCACAGAACAATTATGTGTATTTTTAGTGATAAACGATTTTTATATATTATATGTAGTTATGCACACTGAAAAGCACAGCTATCTTTCTCTATCAAACAGTGTACCTGTTTTGATACTGTACTAACTTGTACATGTCAGTCAGATACTTGGATTGTGATATTATTTTTTGGTGGAAATGTAAAAGCTTTTAAGACTTTCAGTATTGGACTAGTTTTAAAAAAAAATGTTTTTATCAGATATCAATATCTGAGTTACATCTCATTGTATACCATGCATATGCATGTCTTATGTGGTGAATACTGCTAATGGTTATATACAAGCCTAATAAAAATTTGAAGTTTTTCCCATCTAATAAATAATGATCTAAAATTCTTTTGTCTTTTAGATTCTGATTTCATCACTAACACACACTTTAAAGGATTCATTGAAAAACTCTGGTTCCATTTTAATTTTGATGGAAAATTATGCATAAAATGATATATATTTATTTGATGAAACTTCTTTGAAGAAAGTAATTTCATCATCCAGTTTGCACTGGTAATGTTATACTATAAAGCAATTTTAAGAATTCTGTTATCTTGGATTTTTTTTAGTGCCTTCAAAACCTGGTAGGTTCCAAGAAAGTGTGTTTTTCTTTCACCTAACACCCCAGCAAGCTCATGATGTGGCTATGTCCAGGTGAGTTTACATTTCTTTAAAAGAAAGAGGGGAATGCAATTAAAATGTGGGAGAATTGTTTTGCAATGATTAATTAATCTCATGAATCATACTCTAATATATATGTCATGCACCAGTAGTTGATATATTTAATAATTTCAGGAAGAGTGTTGTATCAGTAACATAATATAGAATAATGTTTCTTTTTTTCTACAATATATTATAGCTTACCCCTTCCATGATTTATTCGAGATAACTTAGTTGCCCTCTATGTTTCAAAAAATATTTGCCCAAATTAATTTGAATAAACCATTTCTTGTCATTTTTAATTATTTGCTTGAATTTATTTGCATGTTGTCATGTATAACAATAGGTTATAATAAAGCAAAAAATAAATTAGCTCATTTTCAAAAAAAGCCTGATGCAGAAGGGGTTAAAGCCAACATGTTTATATTTTTGAAGAAACCTAAAAATTATTTCTTTATCGCAACATTACCATATTCATTTAGGTTTTTAGTTACACATCTGTTTGTGTATGCTTGTCTGTAATTAAATACAGCAAAAATGGTGCACAATACTGCCATATTTGTAATGAAATGAGAATAGAAACAGAATAAAACAAGTTTCATTAAAATCAGGCCATGGGTTATCGAGTTAGCCCCGTTTTTCGGGTCACTTTTCGCACATTCCGTTATTATAAAACTTCGTTTATACAACAATATATATAGACAACAGAAATTAAATGATGAGATGAAAATGTGTTATAACAGCACATAGAAAGAACAATAATAAAATGGACCTACAATATTATTGACTATTTGCAAATAGTAACTATGGAAATGAGGTAATTAATAAAAATCAAGTCAAGAACAACAACAAAATTTTATAAACGAAAACCTCTCGCTGAGCATTGGCTATTATATTATTTCCCTGTCATATTCTCATCCTCATTAAAAGGCATAAGATGACAAAAACAAGATCTTGAAAAATCTATTTATATACTACTAAAACTCTGAGATTGTTTGTTTGCTTATTTTCTCAGTCAAAACATCATTCACACTACCGTTCCCGCTCTTTACAAAACTTCTTACTTCACTTTTTTGAAAAATGAAACGGTCTTTCCTTTTACTCCCGATCAACAATCAAATAACTTTTCTTAAATTATAAATAACACGAATGGATTGAAATATTTAATTAAATTATCTCAAAATAAACTTTCATTTCAGTGCAATATTGAAATTAGCTTGAATTTTTCATAACCTCTGAATAGTGGTTGACCCAACGGGTCACAGTGGTCTAGTACGCTTCTAAATTGATTGGAGACCAGTAAGCTAAGATAATTCAGGTTTGGTTCCTCATTTACATGATCAAAATGAATTCATTTAAAAAGTTTATAGATCCATTTTCATTTGAAAATTAAGGGGATGAAGAATTTTTCCACTTTTGATGTAATTGTTGAACAAGTATAAAAGCATTTATCACCCTTTGTTATATGAAAACTTATACAGGTTGCTACTAATTGACACATAAAATAATATACTTAACAAAAGTAGGAGATAATAGAAATCTTAGTGGATATTTTTATTCATGCCATGTGTATGCATGAGTGGAAAAGAGAGAATAAACCAAAATCAGCGCTTATCTGTTTATGAAATTTCAGTTAAAAGATGCAAGAGCTAAGTTCAGACAATGAAAGAAAAAATATCATTTATTTGAACTAAAAAGAATATATTCATTATAAAAAAAAGAGAGTGAAAGAAGATAAAAAAATGACAAAATGCACACTAAAGGACAGTTTTAAAACTTTAAAAATAAAACAATACAAACAGTAGACACTGTGCAAGGCATTGTGTATTTATAATGTAAATGTAATATATTACATTTTTAAGTTTACTACTTTCTCCTTTGGTCAAAAAAAGTTAATACACAGAATACAGAGAAACTTCTGATTGAAAAATGGCCTCAAACCTGCTCTTCAGTTACATATTTTTCAGAAACTGGAGTAGACCTAGTAGGCCTAGTGGTTAGCATGCCAGAATGTGGATCACAGGTTTTGTTGTTCATGGTGCTTACCAACAGCAAGGTAAAAAATAATCCTCTACACTTTGTGGTCAAGGATATGTTGCAAGAGTGATGATCAAATCCCATTATTCGTTTATAGTAGCCCATGAGTTGGTGGTAGGTCATGCTAATTAGCTGTCTTTCTCTAGTCTGTCACTTTAAAATCAGGATAGCCAGTTTAGATATTTCTCAAGGACCTCAAGTAACTTTGTACAAAATTCAAGAGAATATCAAGAAACACCTTATTCCTGAAAAGTCTTTTTTTTTTTTCCTGATAATATTTCATGAATTTGCCTTCACACTTTTTCAGATCTGATCTGAAATGCAAATTTATGATACGATATCTAAAAAAAAAAAAGATGATCTTATCTAGAGCTAGATAAGAACATTACAGATCTCAAACTACTTTCAGAGTTTATGAATGAAATAAGATTGAAAAGTGATATGTACCTAGATGGAAGATTTTACCTGGTAATCCTGGATGGAAGGCAAAGATGATGTAATGTGTGAGAATTTAATGCATTTTAAGTAATAGATCCTTAAGGTTATGAGTAAGTTTTATTCAGATTATCATTACATTTAAATACATTGTAGTAAAAATTAAACTCTGTATCATTGGTATAACATTTTTCAAAATTATTTCAGAGCTAAATATAATTACTCTGATAATGTTACTATCAGAGTTATACTAATAAGTCTGGCTATTGTTATGATGAGAAAAAATTAGCTTGCTAGAGTAATAAGCTGGTTAAGATTTCCGGTTATCATTTTAAATCTTGTTTTTATCACATCCTGTTACTTGTGATGGCTTTAAGTTTTTATTTCACTGAATGAGAAGATTATCAAATTTTACTGTGAGCTGATATATGTAAATTGTCAATTTTTTTGAGAAAATGTCTTTAATATTTAATGAATATGTTAAGAAAAATGGTGATTATCATAATTGTTACTATTATAAACATTTTATAACACTGCTACATTTTCTGTCCAGGTAATAAATTTGCTTGGTTAATTCTGGTAAAACAAGTACTCATATAATGTTTGTGAAGAGAAATGATATGAAGAAAAAGAAAACTATATATATGTTATAGTTATCTCAGCTCAATTTCATTTCTGGTTTAAAATAGCCAAGCATTTTTAAATAATCATTATTATGTTAAGAATGTTATCAGATGTATATTTACATTTATGACCCTAAAAAATCCCTTGAGATAAAATACCTCAATAAGGTTGTTCGGAGATTGAAAATTTAGAAAATATTAAAATGAACTTGTAAAATTTCGACAGTTGTGGGTATTGTTCATAATAGAACTTGGTTATCTAGAATTATAATTATCCATTATTAGTAATTGTTGCTAAATGTGGATACCGAAGACATAAAGCAAATGTAGAATTTAACAATTAATGTCATATGCCAATTCATAAATTGGCATCTTTAATCCATCCCATTTAGCATTACTGTCAGTTAATTGATTAGTACAGTTTTCCTTAAACTATGGTTACATGCAAGAATAAAGACCAAAAGGTAGTGGCAGGTACTGCCAGTTGCCTTTCCTCTAGTAAGCAGTTCAAGATAAAAAAAAAAAAAAGATGCTGTCAGACAGTTGCCTTCCATATAGTCAGCAGTTTAAAATTAGTAACAGGCAGGTGGTCTTAGTAACTTTGCCAGAGCAAAGACAGGACGAGCAAGAGTGTAGGCAATGGGAAAGGGACTTTGTGATCTTCAAATCATGACCCCCCCCCCCTTCTCAGAATCACCAAATCTGAATAAACTTGCAAGGCTAAAATTGGATAGAGCAGAGATATCCCATTATGGAAGGCCTCAATAAGTATTTTCAGATCTAGGAGTCAGCCTAAAAACTCAGGAGCCAGGTTTGTATTGGGAAGTGGGGGCTACACTAGTCCCTTGATTATCCATGCTTCCATTATCCGCAATCGTCTATTATCCACATTTTTCCTTTACCCAAAATTTTCTAAAAATAATTGTGCCATTACAATTCTAGACAATAATTTACATCTTTTTGGAGAAATTGTTGCTTAGAAATTAATTTTGGTTGCAAAAGTTCAGGTGTTGCATGATACCTGGGGTTTTTGCATGCAGGATCTGACATGTATTCAAATCTTAAGTCAGCTGGTTCAAGCCTAGCCTTGCTTCTTTTGTCTTTAACTGTTAAGACAGGAATACAAAATATTTGTAGCTTGGTTAACTAATTGATTAGTGATTAAAACATAGTATACGAAAACACGCAAAATACACATGATTTCTTGAAGATTTCACTCAACTTCAGTTGTCATCTGCTGTTTTATGCTGGATGGCAGGTGTCTTTTAACTACAGATGCATGTTCAGGTTGTGATGGGGTGTCACCCAGTTATGCATTGACCTCTTCCCTACAGATAATTGGTATTTTCAGTCTGTTTTAACAAAGGCTCTTTTGTAATAATTCCCAAGCATAGTGTTTGCACTAATTTTTTACTTATTTTTCACAGGCATTGATAGGGTGTGAATGCACTTCTGTGTCTATAGCAGAAAAAGTGCAGAAATTTTGGAGCTATTTATGCCTATGTTAGCGATTAAATTCAACTAAAATTGGAACAGGCAATCAAAAGAGAAAGTATTATAGGAGAGAAGGTTGAATCATTCTCATGTAACTCATGAAATTCAGAGAAATCGAGCATGATGAGCAACTGACCGACAACACTTGGCTTTCATGATAATAATTGTGATGACTTTTATAATTTTTCGTGATAATGTGATTAAACAACAGTAAAACGATTATAAATTAAAACAAGGAATTTAAATCTATTAAAAAAAATTTTATTTAGATTAAACAATGGGCTGTCTATCGAGATACACTAGTGCCTCGTTTATTTGCTGTTTCTGTTATTCTCAATTTTTTGCTATCTGCGGACCAGCACAGATAATCAAGGCAGTGTATATACATAATCAGTATATATTTATTTACTTTCACAGCAGCAAGTGCATGCTAACGATCACATGATATCGACAACCACTTGATAGTATTGCCAGAGTTAACTGCCTTTGGTCCTGTCTGAGTCTAAACACATGCACTGAAAGAAGAGAAAAAATAGGTCATGAAACTAGTACCGTCTTGTGCAACTGCAGCACTTCATTCCTGAAAAAACATGAAGTGCTGAATATACCATTAACATTGAAGAAAAAACAAAATTCAATTTAGGACTCAAAGAATGTGAAAATAGCTACAGACTTCCCAGAGTCCAGAACTGTTCTAATTTCGACTTCTATTTAGCACAGCCCTATGCATAAATAAAATGAGAGAAAATATTAGGTGCCATGATGAAATTTTTAGTTGCCGTAGCTACCTAGCAGTCAGGATTTGTCTACACCTGCATTATATAGCTTTGTACTTAACAACAAACATTTTATCAATATTTCTATTACTTAATTAGTTGGAAAAATCAAAGAGTAATTATTAGAAGATTTCAATTCATTGATTATTTTTGTGACAGTTGATTTAATTATAATCTTGATTTATTAATTTTTGGAATAATCAAAATCCATAATAATTGGAAACACTAATTTGGATTAATTGATCATAGTTTCAGTTAATTGATTGGTGTATGTGACACTAATTGATGTAATCACTGCTCATAGGTAATCAATTAAATCACTCAACTTTAATTCTGTGCATTTGATAATAGTTGTAAAAAACTGGGTTAAATGAAAAGGTTTTCGGAAGAGTACATGTAAATAATATTATATTTAGAAGTATTAGGAACTTTAATAATGATTATGAGCTGTAGAATTATACACAGACTTTTCTCAATATTAAAATACTTTTATTTGTGAGCTTTTGGCCCCTTTACTGGATGAAGGCTCCAGTAAGAGGGCCAAAAGCTCACAAATAAAAGTATTTTAATATTGAAAAAAGTTGTGTATAATTCTACATTTTAACATACCTATGTTATGAGTCTTAAAAACAAGGATTATGAGCTCTTGTTAATCCTTAATCTGTGAAATTGCTTCCATGAATAAGTAAACAGTAGTCAGTTAATGTTTTTTCTATAATTTTGTTTTGGTAAATATTTTTTTTATTATACTTACTATACAAACCTGTTTATCTCTCTTATTGAATGTAATGATTAAGTAAGTTAATTTTTTTATTCTATGTGTCTTTTAAAAGACATTCAGAGATTTTGTTGTTGTTATTGATTTAACACTGTGTTAATAATTTGTTTCATTAACCTTTCATTACTTTTATAATTAGAGGAAACAAAGAATATGGTGTACAGGTCCAGTTACGATTCTGTCTGTTAGAGACTACTTGTGAACAGGATGATAATTTCCCACCTAGCATTTGTGTGAAAGTTAATTCCAAAGTCTGCCCACTTCCAGTAAGTCTGTCTTGTTTGTTCATGATGTGTATGTGTTGTTGGTAAAGATTACTAGAGATTTTAGTGTAAGAAAAAACAACACAAAAATAGTGAAAAGAAGTTTTTTGTAGTTAATGTCCAAAATAAATGCATTTCGTTACTTAAAAATATAACATTTGATGCCTAGTTTTATTCACATCTCACTGTGTAAATCTATTATTGTTCCCTACTGGTGGCTCAGCAGTAAGTCTGAGGGCGTATAATATTAACAATCATGTTTCAGTACCTGCAGTGGGCAACCAATTGTTTAGCATTGTGCTTAATAACAAACAAATATACAAAACTGTTTTTGATTAATAAGTTAGAGAAATCCTGGTTTTGTTATAATAAGTGAACACTCTTCATTTTATTTTTACCCATCATAACAGGAATTGGCTTGAAATTATAAGAAATAATAATGTGTTGCAGTAAACATTAATATGCTTAAGTATCTTGACTTTTACAAAATCTAATACACCAGACTATTAAAAAGCACTCTTTGAAATTTCATAATTTTAGCATCATCACAATGAAATGAGAAGTGAAGCAGTAAAGTATTAAGTTTTAGTTATTTAAGGTAAACATATTGTGAACATAAACTGGTTGCAGATGGGAATAGAAAAATGTTATGTATAGTAAGCAACCACTTTGTTGGGTGAAATAAATGGATGGCTAAAATAATAGTTTTTGAAGTCCTTGCTATTATCAAGTGTTTGATTTCAATCAATAAGTGGTTGACCCAAATATATAAAAAATAATAATAAGTGATTACTGCAAAAAGCACTGCTCCACATGTGGGTTGCTTATGTGACCTCTGGTAGGTGGAACAAGAAGAATGGATAATTGAATATTTTTTCCTTCAACTTTGTAATTAGTAATCTACTAAGTGGAGAACATGGAAGAATGTTTCTCTATGTTCAAGTGATAATTGCCCTTCACAACAAGTAAATCTGTACTACTGAATGAGTGTTGTCTGTTGTAGTTGCTTGACAACAGGTAAATCCAACCCCTGAAAGTTATGTGCAATGTATTTTTAACATGGAGAAAAGTAGTGAATGATATTTATATTATCGACAATAAAAAATATATGAAAAAATCAAATTAAAATCCATTATTTGTTTATGATTTGTAAATTTTAATATTTTCAATTGTACAACATGTTTTATGATTTTACCATTTTGCCTCTGCATATTACCAATCTATAAACAATAATATGTGAAATAAAATAGTTTTATGCCATACTGAACTAATTTTTATGGCATTGCCAATGAGAACTTTAGAATTTGCATGAATTTTGAAAACTTAATTCTTTTGGCATTAACATATCACACTCTTTTGTAATAATAAAATATTTTAGTTGAGAAAGAAATACATTATTACTTGCAAAATATGAAATTTTTACTTTTAAATATAGATTTTGTGTGTGATGGTAAAAAATTCCTAAACTTATTTAAGAAAAAATATCTGAAACAGACAAGCACAAAAGATATGTTCAAATATATACTAACATTCCTTCTTAATTATCGAGTATGCTTCAAGCTAAAAGAAATGGGACATTAGTCATGTATGTGTACTGAATACTGCTTAGTTCTGTTGTTAGCCTTCCATATATAGTTCCACAAACTTTGTATATAATTTCTAAACTAAGTTGTGCTTTTAACCCATTCCAGACGGGTCACGGGAGAAAGGCGATGTCATCACGTTTGTTGACTCGCATTCAAAATTTTATTGAACTACTATTTCATGAATTTATGTCAGTAAGTTTGGTATCAAAATGTAGATTATAATTCAAATTTTAATATAATATGTTAATTAATTTCTTACTTTAAAAGTAAATATTGAAAAAACACAGCTAAACATTGATTTTTGTGTGTCACGTGGTATGTTGAATGCAGCACTGGTTCAAATTAGATGTTTGTGATGACAAAATACTAAGTCTATAGTTTCACACAGATCAGAAACTCAGATTAATGTTATTGACAAGCAGGAATATGAAATAAGAATGTCTTATCTTTTCAATTTGCTAAGATATTGCTCATGTAATATATCAAACACGGTTGCACCCCACCCACCTATTTCCATTTTGTAAATGCTCCTTTATATAAACTTCTATATATGACATGAATAACCAATCAAAAGCTCAGAATGTCTCCCTAGTGGCTTTCTTAGCCATTTTAAATTCTTAAAATGCCATCTCTTTCTTTTGAACCAAGATTTCAAGGTAGGTTGTGTCTTTAGTCTCCTCAAATTTTATATTTTTTTAGACTGAAATACAGCTTAGTTACTAAGCTCGATAAATTATAGTGGAATTCTTTGGTACTGATGTAGTAATTTATGATTCTTTGGTTGATCAACCATATATATAAAACCTAAAAAAAATTATTTTGTTTCATATCCTCCACGGGCAAAATTTAAAAAGGCTTAGCAACCTACGTCAAGCAGCAACCAAGTACAAAGGTCTTAACTAAAAGAGATAATTGTTTGCTTTACATCTTTATTTACCATTCTGTGTTTTAAGAAAAATAAGTTTAAGAACTTATCTCTAAATAGCAATAATCTATATACATAATAATGTATAATAATTAAAATGTGACTGTATTTTACAAAATACTAATAATACTAATACTAAAACACAGCCAAGACAGGTTACTTTATAAAGACAAAAGGTCAGTTTTATATTATTGGATACGGTAACATGAGTGCACGTGTACCACGTCATTGTAACTTCTGTATTGTTTACCAGGCATGGCTGAAAGGTCAATATAATAAAAATAATAAATGTATAATGTTATGAGATTTAAGCTATTTTGTCTAAACATTTATTTTTTCATGTTATAATCTGTTGTCATTCTAGAATGAACAAGGCATAATATATGTTTATTTCCAAATTTTTTATGGTGGTTAAGAGAGATTGGTCATATCTACCAAACCCATATAGAGAATCGTTAGTGAAAATAACAGATAAAATATAAAGTTTTTTCTTGATAAACATTTGATAACTATTTGGACATTATAAAGATTTCACATGTGAAATTTGAAAATTTTCTGATGCATAAAAGTATTTTTAATCTTAAAATGAATATTAGTTTGCATGTTGGATAGGCAACATGCGAAAGGAAAAAAAAAAGGCATGAGAAAAACATTGCTTTACAAACCTTAAGACTTAATAAAAAAAATTGATATTTTGTGTATGAAAGCATTGTAATATTTACTGATAATCAGCCACATTTCGTTAACATACGCTTACTAATTTATACGTCATATCATGAAAATTATAACAAGCACAAAGTGGTTAAGAGATCAGTCCCAGGGACCGAGCCCGAGCTGAAAGAGTTAAGTGGATGTAAAGTTTGTTAATATTCATCATGTGGAAATTTTTTTTGTTATTGTAATACAGAAAGGTGCATTTTTGTAGGTAAGCTTATAGTGCTGATGTTAGAAATGAAATCACCAAAACTTCACATAATGTGAAAGAACAACAATGTATTAGTAAATTGATTTTGTATAAAACTGTATAACATTTTTGTGTAGTTTATAGGAAAAGTTTGAATTTTATGAACTCATTTTACTGTATTGAAATGAGTAAAGCAGACATTGCTCTGTGAAGAGTTAGTTAACTATTAATAATCTATATAACATGACTAATCCCTACAGAATATGATATTCATGACACTAATAATTGATGTATTAATTTCATAAACTCTCGTGTTGTGCTATATTTAGTAGGAAATCTGTGTCAGGCCCCGGTTAGCTTCTGTGATGATTGGTTCCCATAACCAATTAGCTGGTGTTTGGCTGTGCCTACAGTTGGGAAATTTGGGTACAGCTAAAATTGTGTTTCCATTGGGGCAGTGCTTTTTTTTTAAGGTATTACACAGCACCCCAAAAAATGAGTCAAAAAATTTGGAATGGATGTTTTTATTCAGAAATAAGACTTGTTAGTATTGTCATTGTTTCTATTCTTAGAAATGTCTCATGTTTCTGATTTTTAAAAATTATAAATAAAACTTCTGTAAAATCTCACTTTATATAGAAAAAACACATACCGTTATGTTCTGTACTACTGTTATAAGGGGTAAAAATCAGAGTTATTTTCTATATTGTTATATTGGATACATTTTTATTATTTTGATAGCTTGTACAGCATTAGTCAAAACAACGTGATATTTATTTTTGAATAATTATAATTTCCGAGACTCGTATGAAAGAAATATTTTAACTCTTGTAAATGCATTCACTAAAGAGAAGAGTTGTACATTTATAACATCTTACTGTTTCAGCATATCATACAGTTGAATAATGCAAGTTACAATTATGAAAGCTGTTAAATACTCCTTAACCATGTGCTTATAGCACTTTCTCTTACTTAATTTTGTTGTGTGTTGGTTCCAAATGTAGTCAGTACATATGAATGTTTTTGTGTCTTTAAACAAAAGTATGTAATGAATAAATGTACTTCCTACTCCAAGGAGTAGAATTTTCTGGAGGTCAGTAGCATGATTATGAACTTACAGTGCCAAAATTCAGGGTTCGAGTAACCAGTGATTGAAAGAGCACAGACCATTATGTAGCCTTCCATAACAAATATATATATATAATTAAGAAGTAGAATTGACAGCAAAAACTTTTTGCTAATTGTAGCATAAACATTTTTTAACTCATGATTAATTCTGGTTTTCTCTGTATTATAACCTAGACTATGCCAAGCCTAATTAAATAAATGAATCTTTTATGTACTTTCTCTACACTAGAACTTCAAAGTTAAATCTTAGTTCAACCAGTAATGAAACAAATATAGTTCACTCCTATTGAAAATAAATTATACTGTGAAATTTCATTCATAATTAGGTTGTTGTTTTTTTCAGTTAAGGCATTACTTTAGCTGCCCTGTCTTTGCTATCATCATCATGTTGATATTGAGGCAAGCTTTTAGCTGTTATCTATCTACATCACCTGTTATAATCATGTTTTCAAGTTATGGAGGTTATTGAGCTAAACTTTTACCTGTTGCTCTTCAGCTGTTTTCATTTTATCATAATGAAGTGAAACCAACTCTTTGACTGAAATTCTCAATTATCTCAAGAAATAATTGAGCTTTTGATTTATTAAGTAATCCTTCTATCAAAACAACATATTGGCTATAAATGTTTTATTACTGCAGCTGTATACTATAGGTATTCAGCTATGAAGATGGCACAACAGTTAAGATAATTAACATTTAAAAGGATGATATACATATAGAGAGAGAGAGAGATAAAGTAAGACAGCAGGATCTCAATATCTTGCATGATCTTTTTATACATTTTCAGAATCCTATTCCTACAAATAAACCTGGAGTGGAGCCAAAACGTCCTAGTCGACCAGTCAACATCACAGGTCTCTGTAGGTTGTCTCCTACCTGCCCTAATCATATTAATATATCATGGGCATCTGAATATGGAAGGGTAAGTACATAGTATATTGTGTATTTCCTCATCAGTTGTAAGTTACTCCAGAAGTGATAAATAGTTAAATATCATTAAATCATACCTTCATTGAGAGGTAATTTTGGTTGAAGTATGTATAACCAGAACTGTTTCTCAAAAATATTTGGGTCAGAGATGTTAAGATAATTTTTCATATTTTTATTATGTATGAGAAAAGCTTTTATGTTTTCGTGTACTTATGGTCCAAAGTAGATAACTGTCTTACATTATTTATCAAGCCTGAAGTTTTCTCATTAAGAAACAAGAAAAGAGTAATTACACTACCATTTTTCCTGCTGAATTAAAATATAACACTGACTAATCCAAAACAGATTACATCAAGTAAACATCAGAAAATTCTAAAACTAAAGTTAGACACCTAATTTTCCTTTTTCTCAACACTTAGGTTATTTGTTTTGTCTTAGTTATAATTGACTACAATTCATTTATTACAAACTATCAGAGTGCCTGGCATTGCTCAAATGAAAATGGCTTTAACTGATTTAGTTTCCATGCTAATTTATAGATCTACTGTAAAGCTTTTTAAGTGACTCAAATCTTAAGAAACAAATTGTGAGGTGGTATTCCAGCTGATTGCTGAGAATTTGTGAATTCTACAGGGTATTGGACCAAGGCATTGTGTCAGCTCATTTATAAGACTTGACCTCTCCAGGAACCAGTTGGAGCATTTGCTCATTGATCCTGTCCACCTCAATATTCTTGAAAGCAAGGATTGCTCTCTCACTAAACCATTTCCTGTCTAAAAAGTTATTTTTCAACTTAGGAAAACTTTTACCTTTAGCTCTTCAAAGTATTTTGTGTTTTTTCCACATAAAAAAGTTATGAGCTTATCATCTCCCTCAGAAATTCTGCCAATGTTCAATAGTTTTTTGGCAAATTGTCCAGCTTCCACATCTTGGTTGAGGTGAACTCTCATATTTGTAGTGAAATAGAGCTTGAATACATTTCTCCAGAGTTCAGAGGACATGATGCATGCATTGAGTTCATCTGCTTTTGTGCTTTTCTCAACTACTGGTAAGATTTGACTGAAGTCTCCAGCCATGAGCAAAGTGAACCCCCCACCCCCATTAAAATCCTACAGGAGCTTGTCAGTAGCCTCAAAATCAGTCTTGTGGGACATTTTGCACTCATCCCATACAACCAGCACACAGTCTTGAAGCACTTGAGCCTTTGCTATACCATTGGAGGTATTGCATTTTGGATTATCTCATTTAAGGCTTAATCTGAAAGTTGAGTGAGCTGTTCTTCCTCCTGTGAGCAATGTGGTTGCAATGCCTGAAGAAGCAACCCCCAAGACAATCTTTTTCCTGCTGGCACTCCTTGGCAAGCAACAGGTTTATAAGAAAGGTCTTGCCGGTGCCACATGGAGCATCCAAGAATATCAGGCCTTCTTCTTTGGAGTTGATTCGTTTTAGCACTTCAAGGTAAACCTTCTGGCTACTGTTTATTTTGATTCATTGTCATCAATGAACTGTTTCAGTTCTTCAACATTTTATGAGGTTTCCCTTAATATGTCTCAGGCTAAAGAATGATCTTCCTCTCTGGATGTCTCAGGTAGCTCATATTCTCCCAATTGTTTGCCAAAAATTTGTCCTCAGTCTGGATCAGAGCTTTATTGAAGATTACTTTTGAGTAGGTTACCTCTGGATACTCTTGCTGTGCTCTATAGAGAATATTATCACTCACTGCTTGTTTGTGATCTGTCCACAGCTGCCTAGGATCACCTACTGCACAAAAAGGATGATAGCAAAAAGACTTCTGAATTGAGATGAAGATGGGCAAACCTCAGCTTCAGTAACAGCATCATTATAGTGTCCATCATTCTCAAGGAGTCCTCTCATGTTGCATGCATGATGATATGTCACATTCCATCCCTTCAACAATCTTCAAGTATGTAAAAAAAGTTGGACCTCTGACCGTATGTCGCAGCATGCAAAGACAGAAACATTCAAATTGATTTGGATGGATGGTGTATACTTTCACTAAGGCATCACATGACTGCCATTTCCATTTGTTGGCAGTCCATGTATAGTACTTTGGAACTTCTGGCTAGAGTAGGGTGCGAGCAAAGTTATCTTTTTGGCAAAGTGTGAAAAAAGCTGTTAATTTAGTGTTTCGGATCAATGACCTGTGTTGTTGCAGTTTCCTCCATGAAACAGACCCTCTGAAGGTTTTCAAGATGAACATTCAAGTGACCAACAGTTGGATGCCTCTCATGAATGGGAGATTTGAAAAGTCTCCTTCCAGTTCATTGGAACTAATGTATCTTGCCATTTTGTAGTAAAGAATTTCATAATTGCTATTAATGTCGGTGCCAAATACTGCCATTTTAGATCCTTTGTGTATATACTTGCAAATGTATTTGATTTATTTGACTGAGTTGCAAAACTCAACATTAACGTGATCCTTGAAGATCTTGCTTAAACAAAGGGCAGTATGGAACAACCCATCTGTTGTCGACTTCCTCGTGCTTATCTCTCACTTTAATTTTAAAACTGATTCTACTATCTTCAAGCTTTCTTCTTATGTACTGAGGATAGTCATCTTCTCCAGTAATGGTATTTTGGACAAAAACTCTGGTTCTTTGTACACTTTCCTTCTTGCATGCATGGTGACCCTGTGTTCATGGCTACACTTGGACCATAAATCATTTGACTCTTAATTACTTGAAACTGTTCTTTAACCACTCTAGTATCTGGGAGCTCTGCACAAATGAATGAGTTAGCCTAGCTGGCTGGCATGAATCTTGTCTTTAAGATAAACCAAAATATGAGCATGAGATAGTATTCTTTTCTGCCACTCAGTGGTGTACAAAAAGCATCTCATTTTGCCAAATACGTGACTCTCTTTAATGAGACATTTTGGCTTGAGTACCTTTTTTTTTAAACACTGGTAAAGATGCCATGCCTGTGCTGAGTTTTTTGGCCAGGCTGGAGTTCCTTTTCAATTTTGTCACACTTAAAATTACAAGTGAAGGTAATAAACAGATCAGGTTTTTCCATATGCCATAACATCCCGAGTTTGCTCATGCATATCTCTTGGACCACATATATAATTTGATGGTAGGATAACTAATTCTGCAACATCTGTGACATTGCCATCACTCAAAACAGCATCTTTTAGATGAGCATAATCATCTGCTTTTAGTTTCTTTTGATTCAGTCTGGTAAAAAGCAACCATTCAGATCCAACTTTAGCATACATTTCAATCATGTATTGACTAAGGAGATCTTGAAATTTGGGCAAGTGATTGGAGCTATCTAGTGTCTTCATTAGTCTGTAAGCATAGAAGTCAACAGCACAGACTTTCTTGTTTTGGCTATGCCTTCTGTGTTTGAACCTACTTCAAGAATGTGAAAGTAATAACCATCCTCTCCCCACCAAAATATGGGAGGATATTGCAGTCCGTCATATGATCTGTGGGTTTCAGCTATTCTTGATATACTACTGTCTCTCCTCATCAGCACTATAACTCTCTTTTCATGTTCCTGATTGACCAATAGGTTAGCAGTTCATTTGTTGTTGGCGCATTAAATCTTCCGGCCTGATGTTCAGCTGGTCTTTTATCAGCAATATTGACAATTCGCTGGTCATTAGTTGGCACTTTCTCAAGAGCATAATTGAACACCTTTATCAAGGCATTTTTCTCATGTAGCAGATGCTGCAATGATATAACAATGTATTCATTTACTCCAGGTACTATTCTGCATCTTTGAGCACATTCCTCCTCTTCATTCTCTAATGGAAGGAGGGATCCATCGCAATGGTGTACTTGGTCTTGGATTTTGAAAGTAGATGTCCAACCACTTGCTTTGATATTGGAGAATCTCCCTTCATCTTAAGATTCATCTTAAGGAGGCAATCAGATCCCTCCATTGTATCAGCAAATGCCTGGAGAGTCTCCTTCATATTTCAATGCATTGCAATGTAGAAATTGGTTTTCGATGGCTACTTTTTTCCAACCAAAGGCAAGCTGTCTGGCTGAAGCTGATCTTGCACACTGTCTTGTTTGTCTTCTTTCTATCTGGTCTTCAGCTTCCTGTGCCAATGCCAGTGCTGTCTTTTCATCCTGCCTTGTTTATCTCCTATTTTTCTAGTCCCTGGGTTTTTCTTTGTAGAGCTTCTGCATGATGCTCTTGATCTATGGCCTGTCCTTCATCTCTTTCTTCAGAAGTTTCCCTTGCTCTTCTTAGTGGTGTTTCAGTTCTCTTTCTAGAGAGATGAAATTCTACCTTCTCTTCTGTCTCTCTTGCTCCTCTTTGTGCTTTTTAAGCTCCATCCCTTGATAGATGAAGCTCCCTTTCTTCTGCTGACTCCCTGTCCCTTCTCTCACTTACAGCTTTGGCTTTTGCTATATTTTCAGATAGGTTTAACCTTTGTTTTGATGGCATCTTGAAGCATTAGGCAGGGTCATCTAGAAAAAGATTTAATATCCTGAGTTATTTTGATTAATTCAACCATATCAATTGTTATTTTTGCAAAAAAATCAGTGATTTCTTTACCTAACTAAATATTTTGGTTAAAATCATTAAAAGAACATTGTAGGCAAAAAAAATTTGCTCCAGCTTCTTGCATGTACTTTGCACGACATTTCAAGTTTCCAAAACAGAATTCCCTACCTTTTAGTATCCTGATTTCTTCTGTGTGTTCAATTGTTGTTTGCAACATATTCTGACTATTATCATTCCATTTAATGAAGAACTGATTTATTCTCTTCTCATTGCAATGCAACGTAAATGAAAATTTGATGATACCAAATATTTTTGTAAAGTCATCATATAGTTCATTGTTGCAAGTGCGCATAAGCAAGCCTGTTTAGTTGAGGGAGTGCGTGAGCATGTTCAAGAGAATCCACCAGCCTTTTTTAGTTAAGGGAAGTTAGAGAGGTGACATGTATGTGTAAGAAAGAGAGAGGGGGTAAGAGCAAAAAGAGAATGAGAAGAGAAGCAAATTAAGGC